ACCTTTACTCTCTAATCCCCACTCCTTAAAGAGGCCAGAGGTTTATAAAATGCAAATCTGACCAAGTCACTCCAGATGAAGGTCCTGGGATAACTCCTGAGGCCTCAGATTGGAGGTCCTTCTTCCAGAATCCAGAGGCCTCCTAATGTGTTCATATATTCATTTTTCTGGAAGGAGCTATAGCTTTCATCAAGTCATCAAATGGGCCTGTGACTCCCAAAAAAGGGGTAAAGAGCCAACAGCCAAGAATACCTGGCCTTCAAGATAAAGTCCAAGCTCCTCACCATAACTTGCATGGCCCTTCATAAGATGCTGCCATGGCCTGGCAATGTGACCTTGGGCAAGTTACTTTAACCTCTCTGAGTTGCAATTTCCTTATCTGTAAAATGGAGACAATAACGTATCTTCTCATAGTGCTAACGCATGGAATCAACTAGCGAATTAACATTTGTAAAGGGCTTAGAACAGTGCCTGAGATGTAGCAGGGGCTATGCAAGTATCAGCTCTTGGCATTTTAGCTCAGCTCATCCCCTACCACCATCAACTCTCATGTTTTTAGGCCCCAGCTACAATGAACTACCCGGAGACCCCTCGCACATTCACTGCTTACACAGTTTCCTTTGCCTGGAATGCCCTTTCCTCCACCTCAGCCCTTGACAACCCTTCACCTTTTATCAGGAAGCCTGTCCCAATTCAAAAACCACAAACAAGGTTTAGTTGCCACCTCTTCCCATCATCAAAAGCCCTATGCACACCTCTCACCTGGCTCCTACCAGATATTACAATGACCTGGTTGTCATCTCTCTTCCCTCTCGATAGCCCAGTGTTAGGGGAGAGGGTCAAGTCAAGGTCAGGGACTGTGATGTATTCACTGCTGCTTCCCCACAGGGCACCTGGCCCACAGCGGTGTTGGCTGGATGAGTGAACTAAGTAGTCTCATTCCCTAACTAGTCCCATAACTAGTCCTGGGCTTGAACTTGTGGTTTCCCTGGCTAACAGTCAGGGTTTTCTCCTTGGCAACAGATGTACACCCTCACAGCAGGTTCCGAGCAGCAGGACCAGCCCTCGTGGCCCTATAAACACTCACATTGGCCTGATACTTGGTCATCACAGTCAGCATGAGCTTGGCATAGGCCATGGACGCAGTGGCTGCCAGCCCCTCTTTACAGAGCCTCTCCATCAACACATTGAACTTCTCGGGGGTCATCTCCACCTGCACACATTGGGAAATGGGACAGTAACACAAGAAAAAGCCTTGTATTCAATCCCCAACTCTACCACTTAACTAGGTGACCCTATGCACATCACTTAACCAAACTAAGCCTCAGTTTCCATATCTGTAAAATGGGGCTTGTAACACTGAACTCTGAAGCCTGTGAAAGGATAAAATGAGATAACGCCCATAAAGCCGGGCATGTAGGTCTCAGGAAACGGTGGCTACCATTGCAAAGGCTCTGGGAAGGACCGAGGGCGGCCAAGGATCCCCAGCCTGGCTTCGTGGTTGAAGATATTCAGCAGTGGTACTGCCTGCATAACAAGAGCTCTTCATGATAATTATCTAATAAACACTATTATGTACCAGGTACCATTCTGAGCACTTTACACCAGTTATCCCATTTAAACCTCACCCCAGTCTTATGTGGTAGGTGCTGTCATCACTCCCCTTTAGCAGATGAGAAAACTGAGACATACAGAGGTTAGGACAACACCTACGTTACAAACAGATGAGGCAGAATTTTAGGTACTAATATGGAAAAATTGCCAAAATATACTATTAAGTGAATGAAACAAAATACAGAGTCCTGAGCTTGGTGTTACCATCTGTGTAAAAAGCAAAGGAAAAGTATATTTCCTTGTAGAAGTACGTGTCCTTTTAGATACAAATATCTCTGGGAGGGTCCCCTGAAACTAATACTGATTCACCCAGGGAGAGGCAATTGGATGGCTGGGGGATTATTTTTCACTATTTCCTTGTTGAGCTTCCAAAATTGTGAACATATGAATAAATTTATTACCTACTCAAAAATAAAACTAAATTTATACAAGCACATCAGAAAGCGCCCCCCCATCCCCCCAAGGCCACCGAGCCAGTAAGGGCAGAGATGGGATTTACCATGCAGTCAGCTCTCTGCTCCAGCCCTTGAAGCCCCAGTAGTCTCCCACTGTCACGGAGCAGCCTGCTGTAGGGCAACTGTCCTGCTTGCCCCTCCATCACCAAAGGGATCAGAAAGGGAGCCCCGTGCCTGCCCACAGCCCTGCAGCACTTCTCTGTCCACTCTTCCCCAGGGCAGCCTTCTCACCTGCCGCTCCAGGAGTGACTGCAACACCAAGAAAGTCTGCTCTTTCCAGGGCAACTCCAAGATCTGTCTGCAAAGCACATGGCCCAGTGGGTAAGGCCTGGCCTCCCACCCAAGCCTGGGTATCTACTGCTCCTACCCCAAGGCAGGGCAAGGCCTGGGGACAGCCAAGATCTCCAGCCACTAGAGGAAGGGGTCAGAGCCCCCCGATGCTGCCGGCTGCCCAGTAGCCATTGCTGCAGAAACCATACTCAGTGCTGGGAAGGCCGCCACCCAAGGGGAGCTGACAATGAAGGATTTGGCAGTGGGATGTACAAAGGTCCCTTAAAAATAACCAGGAATCAAGAATATATCCTGAGTACAAAAGGTGAGGGCGACCCAGGGAGCATGATGATGGATGACAACCCACAGTGAGGTCCGCTCCAGCTGTGCCTCCTGTCACGGGACAGTGTGGCTTCTGGGGTGCACAGAGTTGGGTTTGGATCCCAGGCTTTATTACTTGCTTGCTCTGTGACCTTTTGCCACATGCCTTACTTCTCTGAGCTTCAGTTTCTTCATCTTTAAGGCGGCAGCACCTACCTCACCAGATTGTGTGAGGACTGAGATAATGAGTATAAGGCAGAGACAGTGCCCGAAATGTGACGGCTGATATTATTTTTGAGGCTGTCCCCTTCTCGTATTACACTCAGCATTTCATATTTCATGTTGGTGTCCAATGGGGTCTTTCCTACTCATTATTTCTACATGTCTGTCTCAACTCCCCAATTTTAATACCAATTTCATAATAATTTCTGAGCATTTACTAAGTGCCAAATACTGCACTGAGGACATTTAATATCCAGAAAAATGCTACAGAGTGAATATTATCTCCATTTTTCATATGAAGAAGCTCTGAGGGGCGCAGACATAGGGAACAACCTGTTTGAATTACACATTTTCAAAAAGCAAGGTTGAGATTTGAAACTATGTCTGTCTGACTATAGCCAATGCTCTCAGCCGCAGTGCCAATCTCCAACTACGCTGCGAACTACTCAGCGGACCGGGACCACCAGCCCCTTCTCTGCATTCCTCAAGGCACCTGGCACAGAAGACTGAAACCCCAGGCTTGGGAAGGGGCACAGGACGGCAACTTGCACGGGCCCAGGTGGGAAGGCACAAGTCAGGTTCAAACAGTGAGAGGGGGCACCTCCTGTCTTTTGGGCACAGGGCCTGGTGCCCAGTTGGCTCCAACTCCAGAATGCCAGGAACAGACTGGGCCGGGGGGAGGTGGGAGTGGGGGCACGGAGGCCTGTATACTCACCCCAGCATCAGAACCTGTGCATCTGGCTCCAGGGCCTCGTCCTTCATAAGGCAACACAGTAATTCTGTTTGAGCTGGACCTGGGTAGGGGACAGTGGAGGGGACAAGTCTGGGGATAACGGGAGGAGAGGACAGGACTGCAGGGAACAGAATGCTCAGTTCATTACGGGGGCATCATCAGGGAAGTAACAGGTTTTACTCACTGAATACCCAACTCCTGCCGGGGCCACCCGGGGGTGAAGGCTGGCTCCAGAATTACCTGTTTCTGGGGCCCGGAGCACGGGGCCAAGGAGGGCTCTGCAGACGGGGTAGGTATACTTGGCACAGAAGGAAGTCAGGGAAGCTGTGAGCAGGCGGGAGGCTGAGGAAGTCAGGGAGAGAATCTACAGCCGATGGGGAGGAAAATGCTATTTAATTCATTTCTTCCCTTCAAAAAATGTTTATCAGACACATATTTCAGATAGTGATATATGTTATAAAGGGAACAAAAGTTCTTTTCTCCATCACTCATATGGACCCAGCCACTGGAAAAGACACAGCTCCCTTCCCCAGCTCCCAGATCCTTCTGGAATGGCCTGAGGCTGAAGGAGGAATTAGATGCCAAGTGGGTGGATGGCCTGGGGGTCCTTGCCCCAGGCTGCCTGACAGCCAGATGCCTGCGAGGCTGGGAACACCCTCTCCCAACAACCACCCTTGTGAGGGCTCAGACGCTCCCCCATTGTGCCTGGCAGTCTGAGTCCACCTATCCCAGTGCACCTACCCGTCCAAGAAAGAGGCTCCTGGCCAGCACAGTAGCATTGCTGAGGCTAAGATCTGGCGAAAGGGACAGCAGCCAGGTACAGAGCTGCAGGAGACCTGTGTCTGAGAGCTGGGGGAGCTGCAGCTGGGCACAGAGCAGGTCCATCTACCGAGTAGGAGGGAAGACAGAGGGACACTCGGTTTGTCTCTGCTAGGCTGTCTCAAGCAGAGGGGTAGGGCAAGGACATGCCAGGGGAAGGTGAGGCTGGGAGAGCTGCCCTATGGGGTAGAGTCAAGGGTTGAAAAAAAATCCAGGGTGACCCTTGCCCAAGAGACAAAAACAAAACCCGCTCCCAAAATGCCACATGAAGCAGGGAAACACAGTTAAATGGAAAAAGGCTGGGGAGAGGGATGTAAGCTCGGGGCCAACCACTCTTTCTGGACTCACCTGGCTGGGGCTGCACTCATGGAGAAGCTGCAGCTCAACTGGGGGGGCATCCTCCAACCCCTCCAACCCCTGGGAAGGCAAATCCCATGTCAGGGCTGGCACAGTGCTTGGTGACAAGTCACTGAGGCCATCCCTTCAACTGGAGTGGGTGGCTGAGGACACTGGAAGGTGCTTTCAGAAGAGAGGAACTCGTCTAGGTTAGATGACATATCTGTACTTGGGCCCAGAGATACCCGGTAGTGACTTTTCAGGTCTTCATTGCAACCCCCATGTCACCCAAACAGCTTGTGCCTCACTGCACAGGGCGCCCCTGAGCACAGCTGAGGTCCAGGAAGGTGGAAGAAGGGCTATGGTGAGCAGGGCAGGGCAATCACCTCCCCGAAGGTCTTGAGCAGCTGCTGCAGTCTGGGAACCTGGTCCTGCAGAGGAGAGCTCCATCACTGCCAAGTCCCTACCCCACAGCGTGGCCCCAAGCCCAGTCCCCGCTTCCTCTCCTGAGAAGGCCCCAAGTCAGAGGGAGCTGGGCAAAGATGATTCAAAAGTGCCAAGAACACAAAGCCTAAACCTTGAAAAGAGCTTAAGAACTCAAACTAGGCAAGGGCCATGCAAATCCAGCTGTCTTGACTTGTCTTCTCTGCATCTACCCTGAGGGGGGAAGACCCAGCCTTGGGCTAGGAGGGCAGACTGGATACTGGCATCACTCCCCACCCTCCCATATGATGGTGGGGTGGGGTGGCTCTGGAGCCTCTCCTCTTGACTGGTACCCTTGAACCTCATGCTATAGATCATTAGGTCAAGGGTTTCCCAACTCCCATAACTCCCTTCCCCAGAGTCTGTAGAGCAGAGACTATATTCCCTTAACCCCACCCTCCTGCCCCTTGCTCCACTGGCTACAGTCATCCCAACTGGGAAAGAGTGTCCCAACAGGCTTTTGTCCAATAAACCACCCACTCCTGAAGGATCACTCTAAACCCAGCCCTCACCCTAGTACCTGGACAGCTTTGGGCAACTCCAAACTCTCAGCCAATCCCTTAGCATCCTCCAGACTCTGACCAGTCTCAATGGGCTCAACCCCCACCACAGGCTGGTTCTCAATGGGTGATGTGCCTCCTCCATCTGCCAGGGTTTCCAGACATTCACGTTCAGCTCTCTCTTCCTCATGACTTTCCTCTTCTTCCCTTGCCGAACACCGGAACCTTTTGGGGGCCCTCTCCCCCTCAGGACTGGCAGGCTCTTCCTCCGGCTCCTTTCTACGTTTCCTAGGCTGCTGGGAGTCCTCCTCCTCCTCTCTTTCCTTTTCAGGGTCTGGAGACAGGGTCAACTTCAGCCTCCTGCCTCCTGGGCCCAGCTGCCTACATAGGTCTCGGAGCTGTCTCTGGCACCTTTTAGACAGTGGGGACGCTCCCTCAATGGAGACCCCAACACCCAGATCCCTTCGCAGCAATTCCCCCAGGGCCTGGAGCCAGGCATCAGGGTCAGGGCTTGGGTCCTGCCGAGCGATCTGCAGTAGAGGGAGCAGCCTGTTTTCAGGCAGAGATGGCCTAACAGCCATCAACAGGGACATCAGGTTCCGCTGGCATAACCGGGGCAAATGCAGCAGCAGTGGTTTCCTGGGTAGCAGAGGGAGGCAAGCAGTTAAGAGTTCTATTGAGAGGAACACAGGGCAGACAAGGCAGAGCTAGAGGCTAGATGGCAACGGACAGATGGGGGGCTGGGAGGCAGCACCTGTGAGTTAGTGTGGATGGAGAGGAAGACAGCCTGAGAGTCATTCAACAAGTGTTCACTGAGCATCTATTCCAGCTGGGCCCTGCTCTTTGACATTTCCTACTTCAGCTCAAAAATTTATGCTGGAACCTTGTTTTACGTTAAAAAAAGAAAAGAAAAAAGATCTTTCCCAAACTTTATGTAAAAATACTCCAAGATGCTGTGCAATGCTGTCTGAGGCCCTGTGCTCCACTTGGCATTCCCCTGGAAGTTACAGGGTGACATCTGTCCAGCTCAGATGTTCCTGTCACCCAAATGAGTTCCTGAGAGGCAAAGCCAGTATGTCTTCTCCTGGTGTCCCAGTACCCAGCACAGCACCAGCCCTAGCAGGCACATGGTGCACATTTATTGAATGACTTAACTCTGAGAATAAGTGTCCAGATATCAGCAAGGGCTGCTGTGGAGAGAGCAATGTAGCTGTCTGTAATGTTGTGAGGGCACGAATACAGATGCTGTGTGACCTCAGGCTTGTCCAGGTGGCAAGCAAGTCCTGGGTACATCTAGCCCACCACCTATCACGCCTCTGCTCTTCTCTATATACAACTTTGCAGAGCTGTTCAACATCACACAGAGGGACTTGGGATGTGTGTGAGAGAAAAAAAGAAAGCAACTTTTCTTTGTGGAAAACAAACACTAAGAGATGGGGAAGACTCTATTTAAAGGCTTTTAGCTTTCTTTTTGGTGCAAGAACCCCCCCTTATCAGAATGTGTTAAATGTATAAAATACATAGGATTAGTGCAGCCGGGAATGGCTCAGTGGCTGAGCATCAACCTATGATCCAGAAGACCATGGTTCGATTCCCGGTCAGGGCACATGCCTGGGTTTCGGGCTGGATCCCCAATCGGGGAGAGTGCAGGAGGCAGTCGATCGATGACTCTCTCTCATCATTGATGTTTCTCTCTCTTTCCCTCTCCCTTTGTCTCTGAAATCAATAAAGATATACTAAAAAAAACAAAAAACCTTCAAATATATATTAAAAGTAAAATACATAGGATTACAAAAGAAACCAATGATTCTGAAGCCAAGTTCTATTCAGAGACCTTAGGTTGAGTCCCCCCCCCACACACACTCTGTCCAGAAAAAGCCAGGCAGCTGGAAAATATTTCTATAACCTCCAATTTGGGAGTTTTGAAAGTTCTTCTGACCCATCTCATGAAATAAGTTCAAAGTGGAGTGTGGGGAAAAAAGTTAACAACTTCTGTTTCTACTTACCTAAAACACAAGATATTAAGTATTACAATTTTTTAATATATGGATTGGCCCCCCCATATTCCAGTCTCTGGCCTAATTCTGAGTTAGGGGTTTCCAAGAGAGTGGAAGGCAGGCTCTTCAGACCTCTAGGCTGCAGATGGCACCTCGCTCACTTTTTTTTACTGTGTATTTTAATTAATTATGATAGTAAAGTACATTTATGAATACAGTATTATCTCTTTTTTAAAATATATTTTTATTGATTTCAGAGAGAGGAAGGGAGAGGGAGAGACAGAAACATCAATGATGAGAGAGAATCGACTGGCTGCCTTCTGCATGCCCTGCACTGGGGATCCAGCCTGAAACCCTGGCATGTGCCCTGACCAGGAATTAAACCCTGACCTCCAAGTCCATACGTCGACGCTTAACTACTGAGCCACACCAGACAGGGCAGTATTATTTTTTTAAGAAAACAGAACCCTAACAAAATGGACATGTGGCTTTACAGGACACCTGAAAAGAAGCTGAACACCATTACCAGAAGCACAACCAAGTAACAAGAAAATGGCAGGGCTGACATCTCTGCTCCTAGTAGGAATTGTCAGCCACAGAAAGAGGGGGGGAAAAAAAAAAGTTCAAATTCACCCAAAAAACTAGAAATGATCAAGAACACCATCCTTAAGGAAAGTGATCTCGCCAGAAAAGTGTTATGCTTTGAAAATTTGGTAATATAAAGCCACCACAACCAGATGTTTATTGGCATTTATCTCATCTTAAATTTTAATTTTTGTGTACTTTATAATGTAAATATTTTAACACATGGGTACACTTTGTACCTAAGTACGCCTATATTGAAGGCACAGTTCGATATTTTTGGATATAGAATAGGCAATAAAAATCTATTTGAGCCGCCCCGGCCGGGAGGCTCAGTTGGCTGGAGCGTCGTCTCGCACACCGAGAAGGTTGCGGGTTCGAGTCCTGACCAGGGCAGACGCCTAGGCTGCCGGCGGATCCCGATCCAGGGGCGTGTGTGGGAGGCGATGGGTTGATGCTTCCCTCTCTCTAAAACCAATGAACATACCCTCGGGTGAGGATTTTTAAAAAATCGATTGAGTCCACTGACTTACAATTACTTATTTACACGCAGCCGAAGGCGCGTCACCCGCCCTGGGACTCGGCCCGGCCGGCACACAGCAGGTGCCACGCGGGGGCGACAGGGACCCCCCGCCGCGGGGCACGCCCTTCATCTCCCCCAGTGAGGCGGGCAGCACCCCCGCCTCGCGCGAGGGTGACGAGCAAGGCGGCGCCGGTGCTACTTACAGCTGCAGCCGAGAGTGCGGGCCCTCGGTGACCGGCTCCTCGCGGCACAGCGCCTCCAGGACGCGACCCCAGGGGAAAGGCTCCCCCGCGCGGCGGCCGAGCGCGCGCAGCAC